GATCACGCACAATTTTTTTTTTCATTTTCAACTCGGCGACAGTTGGCAACACCATGCGTGCGCAACCAACTCCAACCGACTTGGACTTGGACTTGGAGTTGGAGTTGCCAAACGGAGCTATTGTAGAAGCTCCTTACGGAACCTTCTACGCGCAACTACAAAACCATGTTTTTGACGTGAAAAACCGCGAGGTGGTTCGGGTGTTCGGTCGTTCGCATGTTCGCAGATTCGACAATTTGTCCAAAATCGTGTAACATTGTCTGTTTAGTTATATTTATAGATAAAAGTAAATACGTTGATATTTCAATTCTTAAATTTTATGTAAGATTTTATGATGTCCGCAATTAAATAAAGTTTTTGCTTTTATTTTTAGTAGAAAATATCGTTATTTTGAGGTGGATTTGTGTTTTTCTTTGTTATCTATGTAATAATAAATATAAATAAATAATCGATTTATTTTAATATAAGGTTATGTAGTATGTATGCACGTGAGATTTTACATAATAATTGTCCTTCCTTTTCACATGTTTATCTTATATTATTTACAATAATATATGTATAATGCTTAGAGAGAAGCAATTATTTAATAGGATATATGTTAATAATCCTGTGTAATTTCGTGCGGGGTTTTTTTATTTCTATGTAAAGTCATACCGCCAAGAAATTGCTTTTTGACAGCTTTAGTATTTGATAAGCATGATAAACAACGCTTCCAAATAAACAAAGTTTAATGAAAAGGGATCAGTCCAAATTATTTTGAAATATGTTTTTTAATACTTAATATAATATTGAATGTAACTAACAAATTTTTGATTTACAACAATCACTGACACATAAATTTATGTACAAATTTTTTACAAAAATGAATGTCTGTCTGAATTGCTAAAGTCTTTTTTATGAATTTCAGCCAATTTATAAAATTGATAATTGAATTGTCGAAAAACTTCTTTATAATAATTGGAAACGCATTTGATGGTAATAATTTTATAGATAAAAGTATTATAGTTAATATTAAAAACTCAAATTTCAATAGTTTTGAAATTGAAGTAATTGTAAGTATTAATTGCTGCGACGAGAGTTTTTTACAATTCTATTTTTTAGAATAATTGAGTTTTAGAGAATTCTCAAGAAAATGCTTTAAAATTATTCAATTTTAAATCTTTATTAAAATTATTAAAAATGAATGATTTAACCCTTTAATGGCCGAGTTTTTTGTCGTTACTTTAGACTTATAATGTATATTAGATTTAATTACTAAAGTATTCAGTATGAGAAAAAATTTTTTTTTAACATGTCTCACCCCTTAAAACCACCCCCACGGTACATTACTACCCCAAAAAACTGATATTTAACCAAATTGATGAATTAAATATTTTTCAGCTCTTATCTACTTTTTATTTATTTATAAACATTGTCTGGTTGCTTAAAAATTGAAAAGGATCAATAACCCCTTGAAAACACCCTTAAAGTCAAATAATCATCCCTTGACGGTGAAAGTTTTTGTAAATGATTAAAAAAAATCTATAGATTCTAATTGCTTCTAAATTATAAACAATTATTTGAAAGTTACACAGACATAGATAATAATAATAATAATAATAAACTCACCCCCTACCCTTGAAGCCCACCCCTAATTCATAACTATTCTCAGTTTGGAACAATCAAAAAAATAATTTTCACTGATTTTCGAAAATATGAAAAAAAAAATTTTCTATGATAACTAAGTATTAATACTGAATATAAACAACCCCTGAAAAACAACCCTTAAGTCAAATAACCACCCCTTAATGATAAATGTTTTTGTAAATAAATAAAAAAAATTATATGGATTCTAAGTGCTTCTGAATTGTAAAAAAGTATTTCAATGTTTCACAGATATGGATAATAATAATAAACTCACCCCCTACCCTTGAAATCCACCCCTAATTCATAAGTTATAAGATACTGAATTCAGTTTTCAACAATCAAAAAAATAATTTTCACTGATTATTATCATATTGAGTACATACTCAATGCACTCCCCTCCACGATGGCGTAGAGGGGAGTGCATTGGGTAAATGAAAGGGGGGGTACGACAGTAGCAAAGAAGCTCCCATGTGGAACTGCTGTTATAAGGCAATCAGCGCGTCGTTTCGTTTTCTCTGTGTAGCGTTCTCCCACTACCTCACCGATTGAGCCTGGGTCTGTAATTTTCATTTTCATACTAAACTCCTAACAACAGGCACTAAAAGCTACAAAATTAATAGGCAATAATGACACCAGCATTATTTTGCAATTTTAAAAACTGACATCATATTCGTAATTATCGACCCCGAAAACCCCTGAGTAATAAGTTTCAGATGAATCTAATGAAAGTTAATCATTTCGTCCGCCATATTGGATCCGCCATTTTCAATTTTCTAAATCTGATATCGGATTCGTAATCAGCGACCCCGAAAACCCCCCAAGTGACAAGTTTCAAATGAATCTAGTGAATTTTTATATTTATCGGTCGCCATATTGGATCCGCCATTTTGAATTCTTAAAGACGGACATCGGATTCGTAATCAGCGACCCCGAAAACCCCCGAGTGATAAGTTTCACGCGAATGTAGTAAATTTTTATAATTAACGGTCGCCATTTTGGTTCCGCCATTTTGAATTTTTGAAAACGGACATCGGATTCGTAATCAGCGACCCCGAAAACCCCCAAGTAACAATTTTCAAGCGAATTTATTAATTTTTAAAGGTTTTGGTTTTTAGGGGTAGTTTTAGTTATTTTTCTGCACCCTCGGGTTGGATTTTTAATATTAATTTTTTTTACAAAGGTTGCAATATTTTTAAACATATGTTACTATGAAAGCCTGAAAAAAAAATTTCTTCTGAAATTTATACCTGTTTTTTCATTTTTCTCATTTTTCGGGTTTTTTGAAGGGGTGTATTTCAAAGAGGGTAGTTTTTTAAAAAAATACATGTATTTACATTTGTTACTCTATCCCTCCCCTTCAAAATGAGATCTTAGTGAAGTTAATCGATTAAGTTTTAAGAAAGTTATGATTTTTTGAAGTAGGTGGGACGTATGTGTCCCACTGGCCATGAAAGGGTTAAAGACAATTTTTTAAAACAATTAAAATTTGAAATTATAAATTTTATTTTTTGACAATATAATAATAAAAGATTTCAATTGAAAAAATTTAAATTATTTGATTTAAATTTATAAAAATCTTCTAGAATTTTCTTTGAAAAGTTTTTTAAGAAGTTAATATTTTGAAAAAATTTATCTTTTATCTTTCTTTAATGGAAATTATAAAATAAAGAAATTAGTTAGGGTCAGCTGGGGTAAATAGAAACAGATTTGCTATATTTCACCAATAACATAAGTTTTTTCTTTTAAATCACAATACTTTCGGGTTTTTTGTGTATTGGGATATTATTTCACTTCCGTGGAACCGTTTTATGTGGTAGTAAAAAATTTGGGTATCATTAAATCGCAATATAATCATCTGTTTCTATTTACCCCTAAATTTTTCAACTTTGCTAAAATTTAGAGGTAAATAGAAACAGATAATTATTTCTTACAAATTTTAACAAGAAATTAATTTCAAGTATGCAAATGTTAAAGGATACAAAAAATTACGTAAAAAAATTGTATTTACTTTTATCTATAAATATAACTAAAAAGACAATGTTACACGATTTTGGACAAATTTTCGAATCTGCGAACGTGGGAACGACCGAACACCACTGAATTATATACTATATGGAACAGGCAGTCCTAGTCCAGGCTGTGAGAGGAAAACGGCTGTGAGAGAGACAATCCGCAGGTATCGTCCTCTTTCTCAGTTTTGTTAGTGCGCATGTGCGGAAACAGCGAAATCACACACAGTTCTTTAGTTATCGAGGCTAAAATGAATCGAGCATAAACTTGGTTTTGTGGTGGCGCGTAGAAGTTTCCGTACCAATCGGAGATCGCACCTAGCTCATAGGTGGAAAACATGAGCACGAAAGAGATAAACATATCTCACTATCTCTTTCGTTCTCATGCTTTTCGCTTTTACGCCGGCGTTTCACGCTGTCATGTGACGGTGCCTTTATTTATATTATTTTTTTTACAACGATCGGTTGTTAAATAGTTAGCTTGTACATATATTACAGGTAAAATACTTTGTATTATTTGCAGGGTTGCGTATGTAATATACATCAGGTAAATAACATAGTTTTTTACGTATATTACATATGTAAATTACCTTAAATTTTTCAAACACAATGCATTTTTTTTATGGTGGGGGGTATTATACGTATAAAAAACCCATGTAATTTACGTAAAAAACTCTGAGTTACGCTTAACTGTGCAACCCTGATTATATTAGGTTGTTCAAGTTGGGTGGGGAAAATCCAAAATGGCGATTAAGCGGTGCCCAAACAAACATTAGAATTGTACGGGATGAAGTCGAATTTTTTTAATATCTCTCTTAAATGAAATTTTAAAACCTAAGTGAATTATGATTTTAGTTTCTAATTTTAATGACCCATTTAATACAATAATAAAAAACAATTTTATTTTTTTAATAAATTTTATTATTGTATTAAATAGGTCATTAAAAATAGAAACTAAAATCCTAATATCAGTTTTGAAACTTAAGTTTTTGATAATTTAACTCAAAATGATGTATTTTTCGGAAAACAACGAGAATCCTTGTACTCAAATCTATCATCCCTCAAAATTTTAGATAAAAATCTTTTCTCATTTTAGAGTAAGATGTATACTACCAAAACAAATTTTCCCATACTAGGTAACGTGGGAGGTTCCCACATACCCTTAAGCGAGATATTAAAAAAATTCGACTTCATCCCGTACATTTCTAATGTTTGTTTGTACACCGCTTAATCGCCATTTTGTATTTTCCCCCACTTAACTTGAACAACCTAATACTCGAGGTTTTCTATGAATGTACTCATCTCTGCCCTCAACTTAAATTTCTAATCCATGTTACTGTGGAACGACCTTAAAATAGTACAGTGTTGTTCACTTTCTGCGTTGGCCTGAAATTGCTTTGTTACTATAGAAACATTATAGAGAATTCTGCTAAAATTGTTCATTTTTTCAGTAAATTAATTGACTAGATGTGTTAATTGTATTTAAGAAATTCCATTTCAGACTAGACAACTTTTTTTGACATTTAATATTTTAACATTATAAAAAAATTCGCGTTTAAAATATTTCCTTCTCCTAGGTTTTTAAAACATTGTTGAGCAGAAGACAGAATCAGCCGTTTATCGATGATGGCTTGATTGTCGTTGATGAATATACCTAACCTATTCTCGGCGTCCTTATTGCAATTACTCAAAGCAGTTTTAATAGAAAATCTTGGGTGTATTCGAACATTGCTATCACTAATATTATGTCAAGAATTGGTGAGTTTCATATTCTTTAACCACTTGATATTTTTATTATTTAATATGAACCGTTATTCACGATTGACGTTATTAATTGAAAATCAAGTTCAGTTTACTTTTACATCTAATTTTCAATTTTTAAATTATTTGTAATAATAATTAGATTTTTAATTCTTCTTAAAAAGTCATATTTGTATATTGTGTATTTACAAAATAAATTGACTATTTAAATGATGTTTTGTTATGAACACTTTAAAAGTAGTTGATTTATGTTCATTTTAATTCTTCTGTGTTTTACTACATGTTTGCAGGTTGTTTATTTGTAAACATGATAAAATTTATGTTGTAATACATTTAAAGAGGGGTGTTTTATTTTTACGTGTTCTTTTTAAGTCTATTGCTTATTTCATAAAACAAAAAAAAAAATATATATATATATAAAATTACACATTAGCATATTAAGAAAGCTAATTTTTAAACTACTAGTTTAAATGATCAGTAAAGTTAAATTTACAATTTCATTCCGTAAAACGCATGCTTATACGAAATTTATAAATTAGTGTTTAATTAAATAAATAGAATTTGCATACATATTGAGAAAAATTTAAATAAACAAAATTAACAATATGAAGTTAGTTCAATATGATACTAAATAAATGTTAATAATATGTAATTAATGATAAAGATAAGAATGAATGTACTAGAAATACTTGTAATTTTTAAAAATGACAACAGCTTTTTAACAATTTTTCTGTAGGTGACTGTACATACTTAAAATATTTATAATGGATCCAGCGACGGTGATAGCTCTTTGTAAAGAGAATATACAACCTTTACGACATGGCCGTAATGTTGCACAGTTGGGGACTGCACTTCGAGCACAAGAAGATGCGGAAGCTCAACAATTCTTACTTCAAGAACGACAGTAGGAATAATTTGAAGTTATACATTAATAAAGATAAAAACTTTCTGCTTTTTTAACAGGTCGAATTATGCTAAAAAAATGGCTTATTTATGTTAAAATTTGCCTTTTTTATCGTATTTATTATTTATTATAATGATTTTTTAAAAATCGTTTTGCAATAAGTCAATAGGAATTTATTTTTTTATTATATTGTTTCTTTAGATAAGTTTGTAAACAAATTCAATAGAATTAGTATAAATAATTTTTTTTAACTAAAATTTTTATTTTTTATTCTCTATCGCATATAGATATATTTACATATTTACCGAAAAAAAATTCTACTGCTTAAATAACAAAATTACTTGTTTTTTCTGCTGATTTATTTTAATTAAATTTCTATTAGAAAATACTTTCTTCATGGTTTTTAGACGTTTTATATTTAAAATTTCGAGCAAATTTATGTTTTTATGCTTTAGCAGAATTTTTCTATTTAAATTAACATATTTTTTTATTTAAACAGAAAGAATTCTAAATTTGTGATTCTGTGTATCAAGATATTTTATATGATTTTCTAAAATCCTAGTCATTATTTGTTTCTTCTTCTTATGTTTTCTTTTTTTCTAGAATGCACGAAGATGCCATAAAAAATTATGTTGGGGATGATCCTCTAGAGAATTGGTACGACTATATTCTTTGGATTGAACAAAGTTATCCAAAAAGTGGACATGAATCTCACATTAGCAGACTGTTGCAAGATTGCCTATCAACTTTTGAGAAAGAAACAAAATATCATCAGGATAGAAGATATATTCGCTTATGGATCAATTATGTAAGTATATTTTTTACGCATTCTTGAGATAACAAAATGCATATTACAACAGAAATCTAATTATATAAATTAGAAATTTTTGAATTTATCACTTGATAAAGGTTTTTTAAAAAAAGAAAATTTTATCAATCATTACGAGTCAATAAGGAGAAACTGATTTATGTTTCGGTAGCTATGTTGTCCTCATCAGAATCTGAAAAGATTAATTTATTTCTAAGAAGTAGAATACAAAAAAAAATATTTTTACTTGCAAGAAAAAATATTTAAAAAATATTAAAATAAAATTACAAATAAAGAAAAGAAGAGCACTCCGTCGCGCTACGCGCTCCAAATGTTATGCTGACTCTACATTTAATATTATATTATAATATTTTAATATAAAAATTATATATAATAATTATATTATTATTATATAGGATTAATTTTCTTAAAGTTCTTCGACTTTAAGGACAACATTCTCATCATGGCACTCGCGTTTCAAGCTCGAATGTATGATGCGGAATTAGAAGTGTTTTTGAGTATTTGGATTTTTCAAATATATGAAACATTAGAGCGAACGAATACATTTAAGGGGATAGTATCACATCTCCATTATTTTTTTCAAATAGTTTTTTTAATTAAACAATTTATTTTATTTACTTCAAATTTGTTATATACATAAAAGTAAGGGTTATATACTATTCCCAGTTAAAAAGTCTTGTACAAGATCATGTACATTTTCTTGTTCAAGTTCTTGCACATTCGCGTGATCTTGTACAAGAGCAGAAAACGAACCTGTAAAAAGAATTGGAACAAAGTACATGAACATGTACAGGTACATGCAAGTGTACTTGTTTACGACTTTGTGTGAGCAAAATTGCAAATCGATTTGTTTCGATTTACAAAAGTTATTGTGTCAACAGCATTTTGTGTCTACATACAGACAGACACTTTCGCCGGACCATGATTTTTCGACTCAGGGCACCTCATAACGTAAAGATTTCATGGAAATAGAAAAAGTCAATTTTCGACCAATTATAATACCTTCTCATGTGATGAGAATGTAAAAGTAAATATAAAAATACAATAAAATATTTTCAAAATTTAACGAGACAAATATGACGACGCTCACTGACCAACTAACAATAATATTAAAGACACAATCATAGTATGAATATAAAATTGAAAATGAAAACAAAAGACGGAAAAGATGTTATGACAAATCAGATTTTGTACATATGCAATAGGACGTTTCACTGAAAACTTTTTTTTCGATTTTCTAAAACCTTAACCCGAATTTAGACTCGTCTTGACTCACAAAATATGGCAGAATTTTTTCACATTTTTTGAAGGTCATTTAGAGGTCGCTATTTTGATTTTCATGCAAAATTTGTGCTTTTTATAAAAAAAATTTTATTTTGTATTTCTAAGTGTTCCAATTTAAAAAAATATTTGAAGCTTATTTTTATGACCTTAAATGAGAAAAACGGTCTCCTTCACGTTCAAAGTTACTTTATTTTAATTTAAAGCCTCTTAAAAAATCTAATTCTTTTTTAGAATATTTGAATAGACAATATACTTTAATTTGGTAAAAGAAAATTTTGTTAGATATGTTGTATTTGTTTAAACTATAAAGAATTTGAAGAAAAAATTGTTTTCCACAATAAAAAATCAAAATCATTTAATTATTTTTAATAAAAATACACAGTACGTATATAAAGAAAGTATAATCGGAGGAATAACTTTGACTAAAAATATAAAAGATTTAAATTTGAATATAATTTAAATAAATGTAAACAATTAAACATAATTTAAATATATTATATATTATAATATATTCTAATGTTATATATTTTTATTCAAAGTTATTCTATCGATTGTACTTGCTTTATATGTTTACAGTGTATTTGTTTTAAAAATAATTAAATAATCTTAATTTACTATTTTGAAAAACAATTTTTTCATTAAATTTTTTTTTAAGTTTAAACATATACTATACTAGCTGTCGCACCCGTCTTCGACGGTTATAATATTTAGATTTAATAAATTTTGAAATTTATAATTACATCCAATTGGATCTAATTTCAAAGAGTAAAAAAGTAATTTTCGATTTTTTATTTTTACAATATCTGATTTCATATTCAGATTTGCAATTATTAATTTTAAAATTCTGATAAAATTCTTAAAATTTCTTGTTAAAAGCATACTTAATTGGTCACAAAATTTTAAATAAAGAACGTTTAGTAAAGAATTATCAAAAAATAAAAAATGTTAAATTTTTTGAAAGTGTCATATTTTTGTTTAAATTAATATTTTTCATTGGTGTGCAGCTAAGATTGCGTTTAATACCCAACAGACTAAAAACATTATTGTTTTACTTATAAAAAGTTGAACATAACGAATTCTTATATTACAATGTTATTAAAAAAATTGTAAATTCAAAAATTTGATTTAGACTTTTAAATTCAGACTATTTACTTAATTTAATAAAAAAATTGATTGTATTTATGTGAAAAAATTAGGTACAAATAGTTTCAAATCAATCTGTCAAAAAATAAAAAATTTGCATTTTTTTGATTTTTTTAAATTTTTTGAAAAAATGTCATAACTTTCGTTCATGTTAATATTTTTTAATCAAATATGTCTAAGATTTTAAGTTACGTTAAGACTGAATACACTGCCAAGTTTTACCTCAATCGGTTGAGCCGTTTTAAAGTTGTGCCGGTACAAAATATTGACGACAGACAGACAGATAGACAGACAGACAGACAGAATTTTTATTTATGGCATATTTGTTATCTTTACTACTTAAAATGATAAACTATGCAAGAAAAAATTAATTTGGAGCAATGTACAGACAAAAGTCTGATTTTATTAATATAGATATGAGATGCACTACAGTGAAAGGTACCTTAGCTCTAAACAAATTTTAGGTTATGGTGAGTGATTGTTTTACCTTGACTAAACGTTCATTTTAATTATGTTAAGTCAAAATCAGTTTTTATTAAATATTTTTGTTCTAATAAAGATTTAAACATTAGTGGTAAATTACGTCACATTTTAAAGGGGAAGGGGAGGTTGTAAATTTGTGACAACCAGCAGAAAAAAATGGCGCTAATGTACGTAATAGTGGGGATGGGGGAGTAAAAAAATGAGTGACGTAATTTATAAACGACCCCTAATTGTAAATAATTACAACATATCTAACAAAATTTTCTTTTACCAAATTAAGGTATATTGTCTATTTAAACATTCCCTTAAAAATTTTTTTTTATTGCTGCCATTTTCTTATTTTTTAATATTTTTTATTGGGGTTAGAGGGGGATGTTTAGCTACATGTCTCAGTTTCAAATCGGTATTTTATTTTTTCAAATCCAATGTCTCAGAGGCTGTAGCCTGTCCGCCGATTGCCCAAATTTTTTTGGCCTAGACTTCAGTGCCCTCTGGTGATCAAACAGACCCAATAAAAAACTTTTTTTTTACTTTTTTCTTGAAGGTTTCATTAAATCTTCAAGAAAAAAGTAAACAAAAAGTTTTAATTTTATGAAAAAAATTTCACTTTAAATAAAGTAATAAGCGAGAAAAAATTTTTTTTAACTGTTTTTCACTACTTGAAAAGTGTAATACTACCTTAATTAAATTCTTATTTTTCGTAACTTTAGATAAGTATGCAAACAAATCCAATAGAATTATATCAACTTTTACACAATAATGGGATTGGTACTATGGTGGCAGACATGTATAGAGCATGGGCTTTTGAATTAGAGCAAATAGAAGACTATAAACGAGCGGATGAAGTTTATCTCATGGGCTTAACTACTCGAGCGGAACCACTAGATGAATTGGATTGTGCTCATAAGTAATTATTATTTTTTATGAAAGGCATTATTCATTAACTGTCCTAAGTTTTCAAAATGTATGATTCATTTCATGATTAAAAAAAATAAGTTGCACCAGTAGGTACAAATTAAAACACTCGAGTGTTTTTTTAAAGAAATTATAAATTCTACTTTACTGGTTAATGGTTTTAAAAGTTTTTTTTTTGTCTATTTCTTTTGCTAATAAAAAACAACTTTTGTGAGAATTTTGCAGAACAAATTATATTTTATAATTTTTTTTTTTTTTGCATCATTTTTTTATAATTGTAAAGAAAATAAGTAAATATGTTCTAGAAAACATAATAACATAATTCTAAATAATTTTTGCTTGGGATGTTTAATAAATAATGCACTACTTGTAATAAGACTATTTAGTATTGAAATACTATTTTCATAATTATTTCAATTTCTAGATTACCAAATTTTTTCGATTTTGTAACTAAATTTCTGATTTGTTCACACCTTTTTGTTTACGATTTATTTGTTTAAAACTTTTAGAATTTAATAAGCTAACAGCTAATTAATCGTCTATAATTAAAATTAATTCAGTTCAAAATACTTATAAGTCATGTGAATACGAAATCCTTCTACATCGTAATGTAGAACTGTTTATAAAAATAATGTTAATATAAAGGAATTTTAATTAATGTATTTATTATCTTCAGAAACTTTCAATTGGCTGTAGCACGTAAAATGCTTGGTAGATCCGAAGATGGAAATGAAGTATCTTTTACCGAACAACGTCAAGCCTTCAGTTCGTTAAAAGCAATAAAAGTTGGAAAAAAAGTTGGTAGTGTAAGAACAGGTCATCGTATTCACGGTCATCTTCCAGGTGTAATACCACAAAGTGACGCAACCTCTCATAGCACAAACCAGAATTCTAGGGTACAAATATATCAGGTACTGTGTGCAGACCTTAATAAATTTTAATTCTCTATTTAAAGAAAAATATCAATAATTTACGTTTTTTATGCATTTAATATTATTAGGATGTTACATCTAATAATGACGGTAAAAGCTCCAGTATTTTGGTTCATGTGCCTGTAGAAGCAAACATCCATAAGGAAAACACTATTAAACCTGGTCCATGGAACTCTGGCTACAAAAAGTCTTCTTTAATATCATCCAGTGTCAAGACATCCTTTAAAGGTAAAAATTTACATTTTACAATTTTAAAACTGACATAAGGGTCGTTGCCTTAACCGGAAGTTTTAGTTCATTCTCTTAAAATACTAATATAGTATTTTATGAATTTTTACAAAGACATAAATTTTAATTTTTTTAATTTTGAGGCCGAGTTCTCAGAAAAGAAAATTCGTTTTGATATTCGAAAACATTTAATTAAATCGCACTGATATAATTAAGAAATTATAAATCTCTTAATTATAAATTGCTCAACTTAGTTTAATTTATTTTATTCAATAATCGTATATAAAAGTCCAAAGTATATTTTCAGCTGATAAGGTCCTTTTATGTTTAAACCTTAAAAATAGACAAAATTTAAACTCTTTCTGAAAAATTCTTCTTCTTTCTGAAATTTAATCTTAATTACCTTCAGTAGGTATTGTTTTAGATGTAATAATGAATAGCAATTATTTCCCATTCAAATTTGAATAATTGGAAAATTTTTAATAGTAAGGTACGAAAACTTAAATTTATTTCTATCAAATAATGAAAAAATTAAAAATCCATAAACAGGGTGTCTACTAGTCCTGGAAGTCCTGGAATTTGAAAAAATGCCCTGGAATGTCCTTGAAAGTCCAGGAATTTTAATTTTTGTCCTTGAATTTTTTATATTTTGCTTTTAAATTTTCAAAAATTTATAATTTTGCCAATCAAGTTAAAAAAATTAATTAAATAAGAAAAATGAAAATTTACTTAAGTTACGTAATGTAATATTTAGAGAAAGGTAGATTATGCATTTAGAGACCCTCTAATTATGTTAAAATATGCACGATTATGCGAGATTATGCGACTAAAATATGCACGATTATGCGGCATTATGCGCTAAAATTAGCTTAATTATGAAAAATTATACAGCGTTTAAAAAAATTAATTTGGAACATGTATTTTTAATCGCTATCTTTTTTATATCGAATTTTAAAAATCATGTTAACATGCCAAAACTAGTGCCTTGAACTAATGAGTTAAGGACGTTTATCCACGGAAATGCAGACCTCTAGAAAAAAATAATGAATTAACATTTAAATAATTAAAATAATATTATTAATTGTACTTTCTGAAAGATGAGATATTAATTTTCAAGAAAAAAATTTAAAACCGGCAAAATTTATTTATTTATACAATTTGCATAGGATAACATTTTTTTGTTGTATTGATTCTACAGAATCATTTTTAAAAAATTCTGTAGAAGCGATATAACAAAAAAAATTTTATCCTATGCAAATTGTATAAACTAATAAATTTTGCAGGTTTAAAATTTTTTTCTTGAAAATTAATATCTCATCTTTCAGAAAGTACAATTAATAATATTATTTTAATGATACCTATAAATATGTTAATTAATTATTTTTTTCAAGAGGTCTGCATTTCCGTGGATAAACATCCTTAATAAGAAATAAAAAGAAGATATATTTTCAGAAAAATAAAATAAATTGGTATTGACTAAAATACTATCAAAAGAATTTTTTTTCGGTTTAGTTAAAAAAAGCACTATTTTGGCAATTTTGAGCCAATTATGCGGTCATTATGCAAAAAAAGTAAAATTATGCAATGACATATAAATTATGCAACATTATGCGCCTTAAAAACGTATTGTAAAAGGTCCAAAATACAAAACTAACACTAATTTCTCTAAACTAATTTTTCTTGATTTTAGAAAATTATGCAATTATGCGATCGCATAATCTACCCTTCTCTAGTAATATTTATTAATGTTTCTGTAATATTTATTAAAATTGTTATTTTAATTAAATTTCTGACAACAGTAGTTAAACTAAAAATTATTTTATTCCTTAAGGACATCCAATTTAATGTCCTGGAAAAAAAAGAAATTTGTCCTGGAAAGTCCTGGAAAAGTCCTGGAATTTTAATTCAGATTTTTAGTAGACACCCTGATAAATAGTTTTTTGACATCCGAAGTTTTATGAAATTACAAATATCCCGTTAATGCAAAATTGATGATTTTTTTGTCATCCTTCTTTACCAAAAAAAAATAAAACTTCTCAGAGTATTACTTTACTTTTACAACTTAAAATAATTGAGCATTGCGGTAATAATTGTGCGCAGACCCTAATTAATCAATATTTATTGAAAGAACATTTTCAATTTTTTGTTTCACGAAGTTCATGAAGATCAACCTGATGATAATTGTAGTTTAGAAAAAGTGAAACTGTTTCCTAATCATACTACATTTTACGATGGTAGCAAATACGAGGAATATCCTAAGATTCCAGTTTATGTACCAGATCCACCAAATTCGAATGTGATACTGAAACCTCACTACCCCAAAGAATTAGTATACGCTAATAATATTGATCGAAGTATGGAAGAAATCAGGGCTCAGCAATATCTCGAAAGGTACGTACATGAATACCTATATTCGTCAAGTGTTCCCAATTCAAAAATGTTTTCTTTTTGTTTTTACTGATCTTGTTCAACTATTTAATCACAATTTTACTAAAAATAACAACTGTTTTGCAAGACAGGCAAACAATATAAAAATTGTACTATATTGGATTTGGTTATAATTTGATATTATACACTTAAAGAAAATTTATAAGAAATTTTCATAAGTGAAGTAGAAATTTTAGTTTAGGTTACAATGTATTTAAAACGTATAACGTATTAATATAGAGTTATTGTAATTACATAAAAATTCTATTGGAATTCGTGAATATTTACTAAAATTTTAAAAAATACATTTGTGACCTGGACAGTTAAAAGGGACCTTATGTTCGAAAAAATCGATTTTTTATTGATTGGCGATTCTGATAGAGAAAATTTTTTTCTATCAAAATCACCAATCAATAAAAAATTAATTTTTTCGAACGTGAGGTCCTTTTTAACTGTCCAGGTCACATTTATTAAAGATTGAAATATATTTTCAGAAGTCTAGTACTTTTCATATCAATATTTCACATTCTGACACATTTTCTCCAAATTGCAAAATATTTACTAAAATTTCTAATATACTTATTAAAATTTCTTAAATATTTTCTTCCAGCGTAATATGTTCTTCCCTACTGAAAATTCCCATATAAGATCTTTCATAGGATCCTATATGAAATTCCATATAAAATCCCAGATTGATTATAGGAATCCATAAAAATAACCGTATGTGAAATTGGGATACAATTTTAAATATGAATTCATGTGGGAATTTGTATTTGTGATTCTACATAGGAATTAATAGGACCCGTCGCGTTTTAAGTTGAGAAAAAGGTCACGTCGAAAAAATTTTTTTTTCGAAAATCTTCAGTTGATAATAACATTGCTATTACAGTTGACATTTAAATAATTATTTATTTATTACAACCGGAATAAAATATATTGGTTAGTGATTAAAATTTAAATATGGATTAAAGTGATTAAAACTTAAATTAATTACTTACACAACTTGAAATAAATCTTGATGGTCTTATTTTACTAAACATTTTTGTTTACTCTACTTATATTTAATTTTGTAAAAATTGATAAAAGTAATTTTGTTGAAATGGTAAAACTTGTTTAATAAATATTTTCAGTTTCGCTAAGGAAGAAAAATTATAATTATTTAAATTAAAATTATAATTATACTTATAAAAAGGTTAAAAGTTCATGTCAAAACAAACAAATTACGATTTATTTAAATGTCAACTACAATAGCAATACATTTACTAAGATAAAGTCTCAGCTCTTATAATATTAAAGACTGATTTTAACTGTGGGAGAAAAAATTCTTATCATCTGGCGGCGTAAGAGTAGAACCATGATGATCTATATCTCTATTGAAATTTTCCGTATAATTTCCTACTTGGAAATTCCTACCGTTGGGAATTTTGCGACCTCTTGTTTTTTCGACGACTATAAAACGGTTTAAATCTTTAAAAAAAATTTTAGTTTTAGATTTTTTAATTTTAGAATTTTATTATAATAAAATTCTGAAATAAATTGTACATTGACAAAGAGAATACGTTAATTATTTAATTAGATATCTAAGAAATTCCCAATTTTCAGTGTTTTTACTATTTTTCTTATTTCTCTGGCAAAAATTTATATTTTTCAACGTTCTTGGGATCATTAGAATGGTATTTTGTTATACAATTCAAATTATTTAAAATAATTCATGTCCACATTCTTCCGTAGCGTATGCAAACCGTGAAAGTTGGTTCAAAAGAATTCAAAAAATTAATATTTATATTTAAATGAGAAAAAATAATTAGTTAAATGCGTAAATCTTAAATTTACTTAAATAAATCAGTTAAGTTTAAGATAATCTATTAACTTGATTTTTAAACATTATATTTTGTTGTAGAATTGAATTTTAATTTAATTTAAAAATATTAATTTTTGCCAGAGAAATAAAGAAAATAGTAAATAAACAATGAGTTAGTATTGGATGGGTGACTGCCTCGGTACCCGCCATGGCCCTGGTGTTTTTCGCTCCAATTGAGATATACTAAGCGGGAGGTTTGACGTCGAGGATATGTTTGTGTATTTGGATGACTATTTAAATGTACATTCATGACTCGACAGTCAATAAACCGGCTGTATTCAGTAAGAGGTTTTCCGTAGTTTTCCTCCATTCTGATCAAGAAAGGGTCAGGCAAATGCGAATACTTCTAAGGAAAGTCGGCTACGGACCGCTATTTGGGGAATTTGAGGTTAAAGATGGGGGATAGATTGCGTAAAAGCCTTAAAAAGGTGTACGCGGGAAATCTAAATAAAAAATAGTAAAAACAATGAAAATTGCTTTTTTCTTAGTTATCTAAATGAAAAATTAACGAATCCTCTTTGTCAAAATTCCATTTCTTTCAGAATTTTATTAGCTTTTAGAAAAAAAAGGAAAAAATTTTAGTTTTAATATTTTTTAAGATTTAAACCGTTTTATAGTCATTTAAAAAGCAAATGTAGCACAATTCCCGACGATAGTATACATATCTTATGTGGATAACTAAAACAGTGGAGTCCAAACATAACATCCCATATTCTTTCATATATGGTGAATTCTTACATAAGATCCTATGTTGAAAAAAAATTTGGGTGTTGAAACGTCCCGAAAAGTAAGGCAGTTATGCTTATCTGTGTATAGCGCCACCAACTCTAAGATGTCTCAGCGCCTAAAAGTTAGGTACAGTCAAATCTACCTGAACAGTTGCCCTTATAAATATTTTGTTATTCCGAGGGTGGATTAAGGGCTCTCAAGAAGGGTTAACGGGTTTTAGTGGGTCGGGGCTGGTAGTACAGTCGAATCTCCCATAAGTTAATTCTGGTGGGGGGTTAACTTATGAGAGAATTGCCGCGTAAGGAGAAATAGTTGCGCAGTGACCTATTGCGCATGGCGGTCAATTTCAAAATATATGTTTGAAGTCTTGTGAAGTAAATGAGTTATTAGAAATGTTTGGATATTTAATTTAATATAAGTTTAGTTGACTGTGAAAAACATTGTCGGTACATACTTGTATTATTCTTTTAACTACTTTTATTAATTTTATAAATCATGGACGGAATTTTATTCATGATAAAATATTATTTGAGTTAATTGGAAATATTATTAAGGAATTAATATTCGTAAATGATGCAGCTACATCAGTGAAACAATTATTTAATAATTAAATTAAATTAAAAGAAAATTCTTTTAAACATGAATCGAATGTTTTTATTCTAGGTAGTGGTACAAGATGTTAATTACACGTTTTAGAAGAACATTGTTAAACATCGTAGACAGACATGTTAACTTGAGAACTAACAATAACATAAATTGAAATCAATTTTTATTATAATTATAATTAAAATAAACTGTATTTTTAAATTCAAATAACGAAAATATATATTTTAACTTCCTATTTAAAAATAAAATAGAATATTGAGATTTTTTGAATTAGTATTTTTTTAAAATTAAAAATCTTTTTTGACAGTTTGTCAAATTCAACATATTTGTGTACATTAAAAGTAGTCAGTCTCGTGGAGTCTTAAAAGTACATAAAACTTTAATTTTTAACAAGTTATCTTATTGTTTTTAATTTTATAAAAACATTTTATAAAAACATTTCAACACATTCAACTGAATTAAACTAAGTCACAGATGATCATAGAACACGTTTGTAGACGAGGTTATGTTTATTTATGTGTCAGCCATCTTGGCACCACTATGCGCATGTGTAATGACTAAAGTTTTTTTTAGGTAGAGGGTGTACGTGATAGGGGAAAATTAACTTATTTTAAGTTCGAGATTCGACTGTAGTTTGGTAGCTTATTTTGTATAGTGTTCCTTTTTTTATCAACCCCACATAACCTTGGCATGCGGAAGCCAAGGTATCTGTATACAGATTTCCCAAGAATCCCTAAGCAAAAAAAAAAATGTTTATTTGGTAGTTAGTATAATATACGCGCGGAAAAACTTTGTATAATACTTTTTTCTTAAACTTATAGTTCTGTATGTTTCTTATCTTAATATCACGTACACTGAAAAACTGTTGAGCAGACGGATACGTCATTGACAATAGCGCAGCGTCACTTAACGTTAGTTACACAGCTCAGTCAAAATTGGGAGAGTTGTTCTCTTAAAACCTAAAGTAACTGCACTCACGTTGGGCTTGGACAAATTTTAACGCAAAAGTACTGGCCCATCTCGGTTCTCTTCAGATATTAATTCCACATTATTTTCTGAGTAAATTTGAACCTAAGATAAAAATAATAAGTAGAGGGATTTTCAAAAAAAAACTTGATTTTCGTGAATTTTTAACTTTTTATAGTACATTTTTTATTTTGAAACAGATGTAATATTATTTTACGTTAGTTCTATGATATTAGAGTCAAAATACACTTTAAAAAAAAACTAAATGTTTTATATCAGAGATTATAAATATCAATTTAAAAGATTTTACCGTGAGGAGCACTAAGGAAAACAAATGGGAACAATTAGCTGAAATACAGTTTATTTGATACAATTTCCAAAAGTACACACCGAATTGAGTCACACCACACCGGAGATTATTGAATATCAAAATAATTTGTAAACTAGATATATATATATGTATACTTTATGATGATTTGAAATCTGGATGATTGCAAATCATACATAAAGCAATAACAAACAATTGAGGGGCTATTAATACAAATTATCTTACGTAGTACTCACACACTCCACATTCACGCGGATGCAACTTATCTTCGAATCTACAATGCCTGAAGTCCTCGGTGAAGTTCCTTTGAAGTCCAGCTAACAAGCAGGTCAATTTTCCACGTTGGGGTTGGAGTGAAGTGTAGGCGTCCCCACACTCCTTAAAAATTCCACAGGAAGGACACACACAATTAAAACTGGAAAACTTTCCAATATGAATTTATTTTAAAATCAAAAAAGGTGAGAGGCAATTTGG